TCCCAATTTGTGAACCCCGACAAAAATGACAATCTGGGGCCGGCCCGTGTGTACATTTAGAGCTGCTTGTCCTTTTCCGAAAAGGACAAGCGCGACTAAATTTACAAAATCCTGGATTTAGAGCTGCTTGTCCTTTTCCGAAAAGGACAAGCGCGACTAAATGTAGAAAACCGGAAAGCTAAGAGCAGCCACACGAAAAGAAAGGGGGGGACCTCGAGATTCGCGGCCGGCCTTATTTAAAAGGCACATTTTATGAACAGAATTTGTCATTTGAAAATCACCAGCAATTTTCCAAAATTCCGGAGGCAAGAAATAGAAAATCTCGAATTTAGAGCTGGTTGTCCTTTTCCGAAAAGAACAAGCGCGACTAAATGCACAAAATCCTGGATTTAGAGCTGCTTGTCCTTTTCCGAAAAGGACAAGCGCGACTAAATCTTCAAAATCCTGGATTTTGAGCTGCTTGTCCTTTTCCGAAAAGGACAAGCACGACTAAATGCACAAAATCCTGGATTTAGAGCTGCTTGTCCTTTTCCGAAAAGGAAAAGCGCGACTAAATGTACACACGGGCCGGCCCTCCAGATTGTCACGCGAGTCTGTCTTGTCCTTTTCCCAATTTGTGAACGCCGACAAAAGTGACAATCTGGGCCCCCCGGCCCCCCCCGTACACACAGTGCGTTTCTGGACGCTCCGCTCGCCCCCTCAGGGGGCATCCTTGCTGTCCTTGTGGAAGCTAGTACTGGCGTTGAACTACAGCGACTGCTGTACGCGCCAATTGACTAGCGAAGCGGCCTCCACATACCTAAAAAGGCCGAGGATGCTTTCGCGAGCATTTCCGAAAGGCTGCGGCCATACTTTCGGGGTGCGTGCCACGGCCGCGCTTTGCGCGAGGATTCGTTCCTCAGTGCCACGGGCCGGGATCTTCCGTCCAACCTGTTCAAGGGAACGCGTGTACTCGCATGGCGAGTGCGCGTTACTACCGGGCTGTCGACTCCTCCGAAGTCGGCGAACCCAGCACAGGTGAAGCCTCTCTGCCATTCTTATCCGGCACGGGCTACGGAAGTAGGAGCGTGTACTGAGGGACACTCTCTGACAAGGCATTCTGAAACAAGGCTATCCCGGATTCACCATGAATCATCCATCCGGGGGGTGCCTTCAAGGATCGTCACACTCCCCATGATCAACATATACGTTAACTCAACATGTGCCCGCCAAGGTATTGCTCTGGTCGCAACTCGGCTGCAAACAAGCATGTCCACGTCTAGAGTGTGCTTGCGTCATGCTTGCGTGATGCTTGCATCGATTTCTTTGCCGAAGCCAAGGTACCATCAGCGCCGTCAGATGAGGCGAGAGCCGCCTGGCCTTTCAAGGAGTTTTAAGGGTTGTGAATGAGACTTTGCTTGCAGAGTTGTTTCGCTTATTGGGGCGTTTGGAAGGAAAACCTCTGGCAGAATTACTTCGCTTCTTGGGGCTTTAGGAATGAAGATGGGTTGAAGGTTTAAGCTTAAGGTTCTAGGGTTTAAGGTTTCCGGTTTTAGGGTTTAGGGTTTAGGGGTTCAGGGTGTAGGGTTGAAGTTGAGGGTTTCGGGTCCTAATTCCTAGAAATCTAGGGTTTGGGGGCCCTTGGGTGTAGGGATTGGGGTTGAGTTGAAGGTCCTAAATTTTATGGTTTCGCGCCCGAGACCCTAGAGTTTAAGGCCCTAGGGTTGAGGGTTAGGTGTCAGGCCCGGAGGTTTAGGGTTTAGGGCCCTAGATTGTAGGGTTTCAGTCCCTAGGCTTGTAGGTTTAGGGTTTCGGGCCCAAGGGTTGAGGGTTTGGAGTGCTAGGGTTTAGGGTTTCGGGCCCCAGGGTTTAGGGTTTAGGGCCCTAGGGTTTAGCCTAGCTAGGGTGTAGGGTTTACCAGGGTTGCGGGTTCAGGGTCCTAGGGTTTAGGGTTTCGAGCTCAGGGTTTAGGGTTTTGGATCCTAGGGTTTAGGGTTCAGGTTTCGGGTTTAGGGTCTAGGAAGGTGCTAGGTTTGTGGGTTTTCGGGAAGGTGCTAGTTGTGGGTTTTCAAGGTTTAGGGCCCTAGGTGGGTCTAGGGTTGAGGGTTTTCGGCTTAGGGCCCTAGGGGTTTGGGTTTAGGAAAGCCCTCTCTTTGAGGGTCTAGGGTGCTACGGTTCGGGCCCTCGGGCTGAGGGTTTAGGGCCATAGGGTGTAGGGTTTAAGGCCCTGGGGTTGAAGGTTTAGGGTTCTAGGGTTTAGGGTTTCGTAGGGTTTAGGGCCCTAGGGTTTAGGGTTTAGGGGTCCTAGGGTTTAAGGTTTCGCTCTCTCAACATGTGCCCGCCAAGGTATTGCTCTGGTCGCAACTCGGCTGCAAATAAGCATGTCCACGTCTAGAGCGTGCTTGCGTCGTGCTTGCGTGATGCTTGCATCGATTTCCTTGCCGAAGCCAAGGTACAACCAGCGCTGTCAAACGAGGCGAGAGCCGCCTCCGGACTGCATCTAGACGAAAGAATCTCGAGTCCGCACAAGCCTTTCAAGGAGTTTTTAGGGGTTAGGAATGAGAATTGCTTGCAGAGTTGTTTCGCTTATTGGGGCGTTAGGAAGGAAAACTTCCGGCAGAATTACTTCGCTTATTGGGGCTTTATAAGGAATGAACATCTCTTGCAGAATTGTTTCGCTTATTGGGGCGTTAGGAAAATAAACCTCTTGCAGAAGTGTTTCGCTTATTGGGGCGTTAGAAGGAAACCTTTCGCGGCCACGAGACGCCGAAACAGTCCGCCCAGAACCCGAAACAGTCCCCACCAGAGCCCGAAACAATCCTGGGAGAACTTGAAACAGTACCCACGAGAGCCCGAAACAATCCTGGGAGAGCCCGAAACAGTCCCCGCCAGAGCCCGAAACAGGTCCCACGAGAGCCCGAAACGGTCCCCAGGAGAGCCCGAAACAGTCCGCGCGAGAGCCCCAAATAGTCTGAAACAGTCCCCGCGGAATCCCGAAACAGTCCCCAGGAGAGCCCGAAACAGTTCCCGCCAGAGGTCCAGCGCGAGCCCGAAACAGTCGTCGGACGAGGCGAAAGCCGCTTCCAGACTGCATCTAGACGCAAAAACCTCGAGTCCGCACAAGCCTTTCCCGACGTTTCGTAGGCTAGCATGCGTCCGCCAAGGCATGGCTCTGATCGCAACTCGGCTGCAATCAAGCATGTCCACGTCCAGAGTGTGCTTGCGTCAGGCTTGTGCCATGCTTGCATCGAGTTCCCCTCCGAAGCCAAGGTACGAGGGCGACGTCGCACATGATCATGCGTTGCATATTGACTCAACACGTGCCTGCCAAGGCATATTGCTCTGGTCGCAACTCGGCTGCAAGCAAGCACGTCCACGTCAAGAGCTTGCTTGCGTCAGGCTTGTGCCATGCTTGCATCGATTTCCCGGTCGAAGCTAAGGCCGCCGGATGAGGCGAAAGCCGCCTCCAGACTGCATCTAAACGCAAAAACCTCGAGTCCGCACAAGCCTTTCCCTACGTTTCGTAGGCCAGCATGTGCCTGCCAAGGTATTGCGCTGGTCGCAACTCGGCTGAGCTGTATCACGAAATCTAGCTTGCTTGCAGGGCCCGAAGTGATCCTGAATCAGCCGCAGGCGGTGAGAGCCGCAGACAACATCAGTTTCACAGAACGGCTACGGCTACATCGCGACCTTTCCCCGAGCCGGGCAACAATGGAGTGTACTGCGCAGCTGTCCTCGTTAGTCCATGCGCTTGTGAAAATTCTGGATTGAGTCCAGAGCCCAAGGGATTGAGCTGCCCATGCCTGCTGCAGCCCAAGGTTTGAGAATCAAGCAGGTAAGGCCCTTCGAGACCAGGGCGTTTTGCTGTGTAGCAGGATGGCGGCAATCGATTACACCAGATGGGACCATCCCGACAGCAGCAGCGACGAAGAAAGCTTTTCAATGCCCACTCCGCCAACATCCCCGAAGCAACCGATACGGCCAAGCATCTTCGTGCAGCCGAGTCAGCCTCTCCCGCTAGACGCAGAGCTTCGTGCCCAAGTCCTTCGGGAAGAGCAAGAACTCGCCGCTTTCGTGCAACGCCATCCTTGTCCTTCAGAAAACACCATGAAGGCCTGGCTTCGCGACGCGGCAGATCACGAAGGCCCGGCCGAAGAAGATTCCCGGACTTTCTCCCAACTCATGAGGCACCTGGGCTGGACACCCAAGAAGCTGGGCTGGTTCCACTACCCTTCCTTCCGTACCTTGTGGGAATCAGCAGGCCAGAGATGCCAAACAGCTTTTCTGGACCAGCGCAGAGTGGGCAGGGAGCTCTACGAACGAGGAGGGCGCGAGTGCATGCAATTCCATTACTATGCCCTGCACTATGCCATGTGCGGCGACTCCGTCCTTCGCGGCATCAACAAGCCCCTGCCTGTCTACGGATTCGCAAGCCACCTGGAAAAAGTATGGGACGGCATCGGATCTTGGCTGGCTTGAGTTGGACGGTCTGGACAAGAAGACCGCTGCCTTGTTCGAGACAGCCCCGGCCCATTGAAATAGGTGGAAGTGATTGGGACGGGACGGCAAGGAGCGAGCGGAAAAATTGCTTGGAACCAGCTGCAAGCCAACGTCACTGCCATCATGCCTGCAATGAGAGCACACTAGTAGCACTAGCTTGGCACCGCAGCCCAATTCGCGCTCAAGAGCATCAAGAGCAGAAGTTCCGCACCTTTCGGCGACTATCCAGGCCGAAGCCGCTTCCGACAGTAAGCGGGAAGGAATGGCAGCAGAACCTTCTCCGCCGGCCCTGCAGGTCAAACGGAAATGTACCCGAGCAACCGCCGCCGATGGGCCGATGTCGAGGACGAGGAGGAACAGGTGGCATGCAGGAAGCTAGCAGTCAAGGCATACAGACTCTCTCGCACTCAGTCCCTATCTTCCTGTTTACCGAGGGAGAGAGAGAGAGGGAGAGAGAGTGAACAAAAAGGCAGAGACGAAGGCAGACAGACGGCCGGATCTTGGCGCGCGCAGGGGACCGGATGGTGTTTCAACTTCGAGGCGTTCAAGAGGCAATACCTGGCAACGCAGTGTTCCTTGACGCTGAAGACGCCAGCCACCGCCCCAGAACTGCATTCGACCACAGTAATGCAAGCACCTGCCGTCCTATGAATCCCGTTGCTTCTGTGGGAAACCCAGCGAGGCCGGAATGATCAAAATCGACGAGGCTCCACGCCAAGCTTTCGACGGCAGCGATGGCTAGCGGACTCACTTTGGAACCCTCGAGCAGCCTCCACCGCAATGTGCCCGCACCGAGGCATGGAAGACGCATCCGACGACATCCCGGACACGAAGGTCGGCCAGTGGCCAAAGTGGACAGCAACGGGCGCACCGACGCAAAAAGGCACTGCCTTGAGGGTTGAAAAGAACGCTTGGGAGACGCAGAGACTGTGCATTAATCAGTCTGCAGGCTCCCGCGCCGAGACCACCGAAGCCAACAAAGTGGACGGCCGAGGACGATTCCGCACTCGAAGACGCTTTCCAAATGGCAGAGGCGCGGCACGCAGCCTAATTCAGCCGCGCAGCTCCTCGATCAATGCGGCTGCAGGCGGAAAGGGTCACCGCAAAAGCTTTGTCGGAGCAATCCGATTCAGATGCCGCGGTGGGCCCTCCTCATGGACATCGCGGCGCTGCAGCACGACGGGGCGGCGCCAATGCGAACGCCACGGAACAAAGCGGGCCCAGCATCGAGGCAGGCCCGCCGTCGGCTTGCTCTGCAACAAATTAGGTTCTATTCTTCGGATAGCCAGAAGCATATATATCTACACACATAGCCGCATGCTTCGACGCCAAGAACTTAATGTCACGTAAAGAGATGATTTGACCCCCGACTCGGGTGACCTTATAGCAGCGCGCGAGTTCGAAACCGCATGCACGCACCCCTTCTCTCGAACCGTGTGCCGCTGTGCAGGCCGAAAGAACAACCGCCACCGCGACTGCAAGCGACAACAACCATCCAGCAACGCTTGCAAGAAGCACCGCTGGACGACTTCGTGCAGAACCGACTGCGCGACGAGGAGGCGCCGGGCCGGATTCCGACCACGAATCGGAGCCCGGCCCCAGCATCGAGGCCAGTTTCATCGCTCGGGGCTCCATTATGATGTAAGAAGGTCCATTCTAGCGACGGCTCTACACCTGACAGGAGCACTTTCGGGGCATGCTGACCATGAAGAAGATGACGGGCGACGGCAACTGCATCTTCCACGCGCTCGCGGAGAAAAGCGGCGAGAACGGGGTCCACCTGCGCTCCCAGATCATCCAGTACCTGAAGGAGAACGCGGCGTCCCAAGAGCACGAAGAGCAAGTGGAAGCCTGGTTGGAGGAAGCCGAACACCTCGAAAGCAACCCGAGTAACTGGGGCGGCGACACGGCCATCGTCGCCTTCACCCTCATGAGACAGCAGCAAGCGTTCCTGCACTGCCGGGCGTCGGACGGCGAGATCTGCACGAGCGAGCGCACGCATGTGGAAGTGCGCGAAGAGGCCCGACGGCACCCCCACGCAGTACCGAACGTCTATTATCACGCAATCCACCTCTGGTTCAACGGGAAGGACCACTACGATGTGCTCGTGCCCATTGACCAGACGCCACCACCACTACCACCACCACCACCACCCACCAACACCACCACCAACACCACCCACCAGCAGCACCACCACCACCACCCCACCCAGAGCCGCGCCCGCCCAAGCGCCAGAGAACCGCAGCCGGCCAAGCTCAGCGCACGCGGCAAGGTCAGGCGCAAGGAGCCACAGAGAACCCAGAGGCGGCACCCCCCCAAGCAGCAGAGGAAGGACCCAGCCTCCTCGAAGAGCTGACCAGCATGCCCGTTGCAACGGAGTCAACGGAGCCCACCCACTACCACCCCAGACGAAAGCTGGAAAATGCGCTCAAGCACTTCGCAAGCACCCACCTGCGAGCCCAGCCACTGATACCACCCGAAGCCAAAGCCGAGAACGTGGACCAGGGCGAAGCCTGGCCGCAGGTCTTCTGCGCATTCCAGGGATGCAAATGGTCGTTATTCTCTGGGACGGAAGAAAAGCTCCACGAGCATGTCAAGGACTCTCACGCACCGGAGCTGGAGTTGGTGGCCCAGCACATGCCCAGGCCCCTGCCGAAAGACGCCCTGACCAGCGTCTACAACGAGGCCGTCGCACTTCGATGCAGAGAGGCCGCGCCCGTCGCGGGAAGCTCTCGGGACAGAAGCGCGCTGCGCAGCTTCGCCGAGGCCACCAGCAAGGACAACGTGGAATCGCTCATTTGCTTCAGCTGCGCCTGCATTCACCCGCGCACAGCCGACATGGCGGCCAGCAGCCGCATCAGCTGGCGCAAACTCATCCAGAGCCCCGGCAGCAACGACGACAACCACGCCGAGACCACTGCAAAACTGCACGAGCTGCTGAGCATCGACAAATACCTCGACTACTACGACGACCTGGCCGGCGACGCAAAGCTCACAGACGTGGCCAACTTCGACGACTGGACGGTGACCATCCCCGGATTCGGCAACATCCTGTGCTGCCCGGAGGACCATCGATGCCAAGCCCGCCCCGAGCACCCCAGCCAGCGCACACTCTGCGAGCACTGCGAAGTGCCCCTTTGCAGCGAGTGCGACGAGCAGCTGCGAAAGGGCCGGCTGCCGCCCCTGAGCCTGTGCAACGACATGTGGACCGGCTACTCGCCAGCACGCCTACACGAAGAGAAGGTCACCGTCATGGAGATGATCTGTGCCAGCCCCTGCGTCACCACGCTGGTCTGCATGGCCATGGAAGCACGGCACCGCAGCGAGGGAACCACCCTAGACGAGCAAGCCCAGAACGCCAACCACCGCCTCGGAGCCCGGGGCAACGCCCTCACCTTCCCGCTGCCATGGGAAGACGTGCTGCGCAACCTCCAAGCGCACGAGGAAGGAGTGGCGGAAACGCAGCGAGCGGCAGCGGCAAACGAAGAGCCGCCCCCAACGAACATACCACGCGCAGGGGCGGCACTCGGCGACGTGGTGAGGGTCCTCCTGAAGACCAACAAAACAGGCAAGACCAGCGAGTCAGAAATCAAAACCCTGCTCCACCAAGCGACGGTGCGGAGGGAAGTGGTCGTCAACCTCATCCTGGACATGCAACGCCTGGGCCACCCCGCCTTTCAGCACCTGCGACAAGAAGCCGTGCGCGAGGCCGCGGCACAGCTGCCGGAGGGCGGCGTGCCCCCGGAGGTGCTGAAGGTCATCCACGGCATGAGAGAAGAGGACGAGACCAGCCACAAACTGCAGCCGCAGAAGGCGGCGGCCCCCACGGACGCCCCGGAACAAGACGTGCAGCAAGCCGGCACCATCTTCGCCAACCAGCGCGCCCGCGCCGTTCTTCCGGAAGGCTGCAACCAAGACCGAGAGGACCAGACCGCCGTGGCCACGGCCGCCCTGAACGACCTCGAGGACCAGCTCCGAAGCAAGCAGAAGAACGAGAAGATCCTGGAGACCTACGAGGTGCGCACGAGCAACATGCTCGTGGACCAGTTCCAGCCGCTCTACTTCGCCACGGCCTTCAGCTTCTGCTTCGCGCACGGCACCGCCTGTCCCGACGTCAAGAATAACCAGCAGGGAGCCCGCAACGACCGGCAGCAACGGCGGAGGAGCAGGAACCCCGACGCCCCCCAAGTGGAAATCCACGCGTGGGCGGCGGCCATGCAACGCCGAGCCGAGACCCAATTCCGGCGGGACTGGACCTTCGGCTTCACCCTCTGGAACTACCTCTTCAGGACCATGGTGAACCTGCAGCAGAACACCTTCATCTACAGCGTCCCCGACGACAACAACGGACGCAGAGCACTGACCAGCCAAGAGATCCTGGACGGCGGCAAGCAAATCCAGAAAGAGCTGGTCAAAGGGAAGTACCTCGACGTCAACGGCCAGACGAAGGCCATCAACGGAGACCTGAGCAAGGTGCGCTTCGCCACCGGACTGCAGCCGGCAGCCGTGAAGGCGCGCAAAACAGGAAAACCACTGCCAGAGCCCAGCTTGTCAACCGACGACACCAACAGAAGCTGCAGGTAAAGACTATAGTACAACCGGGGAAAAAACTTGCATACGTAGGCTCGGAACCCTTATAATGATGTAACGAAAGCCAGAAAAAGCCGCAGGTCTTGGACAACACGGTGGCGCGCAGCCGGAACACCCCCGGCACCCACGAGGTGCGCGCGACCATGCGCCACCAAACCCACGCCAATCGGGTCTGCCACGGCACCCCGCTCTTCGTGACCTTCTCCCCGTCCGAGCGAGACAACACGGTGATGCTGCGCCTGGCCCGCGCCCGGCAATCCGACCCCAGCCTCAGCCAGGAGTCCCAGACCAACCGTGCCGCACAGAGCCGCGGCAAGCCCGAGCTGGACGTGGAGTTTTACAGCCTGAACCCGGAAGCACTCGCCGCGGAGCTGCCGCCCTACGACGAGCGGCGAGCCATGCTGACCAAAGACCCCGTGGCCTGCGCGGACGGCTTCCGCGTCCTGGTGCAGCTGGCGCTCCGGCACCTCTTCGGCGTCCGCTACTGCCCGAAGTGCCCCGACTGCGGGAATTCCGACAATCCCTGCACGGACGCGTTCGGCAGCAACGCCATGGCGTGCGGGGCATCTTCGGCCGACTCGACGCCGCCTACGGCTCCATCGAGTGCCAGAAGTCCGGAGTGCTGCACATCCACTTTCAGGCCCGCTCTCCTCAGACAACAACTATAGACCAGCAACGCACAACAAACACACACGCACGCACGAAAAGCGAGAGAACCAGCAATCTCTAGATTCATCGAGGCACAAAACGAGACACGACACCGAAACCACGGCCGCATGCTTGCCCTGCCCGCAGCTCTTCCTCCAGTGCTTCCACCAGTTCAAATCCCTCTCGGAGCTGCTCGCGCTGAACCCGGAGCACAAGATGGACCTCTTCCAGAAGTACTGCACGTACACCGCCCACGTCAGCCGCACCATCTACCGGGATCCAGAAGAATGGGAAAACAAGCGCCAGGAAACGGAGGAGAAGTGGCCCGCCTACCGCGACTCCCTCCTGGCCCTGAGCCGCCCGGACTACCAGAAGGCCGACGCGTCCATGGACGATACAACCTGGCGGCGGCTTTTCCTGGACGAGGACGTGGAAGCCCTGCAGCAGCTGAAGCAGCACCACGTGCACCTGCCCAAGAAACCGGGCGGCCCGCGTCTGCCGCTGGATCACTGCCGCGACAAGAAGGACCCCACCAAGTGCAAGTCGGGCTTCCCGCGCGAGATGCAATTGACCGACACGACGACGCTGGTGTGCCAAGGCCTGGCAGAGGAGATGGGCATGCCCGTGAAGGGCAAGCGCAGCGCTCTCGGTCGCCTGTGGGGGCCCTGCAACGACCCGAACCTCAACGGCAACCACCCCGCCTTGCTGGCCGCCCTCCGCTGCAACGGCGACGTGCAGGTGCCCTATCGCTTCCCGATCACGGAGGACCTCCACGCCTTGTCCGGACACTGCGACAAGGACTGCCCGGCCCAAGCCAGCCTGCGCGAAATGACCCAGCAGGCCCAGGTGAACCAGGCCGCGCAGGCGGGCTACGCCTGCGACTACAGCAACAAGCGCAATCCCATCGCCGTCAACGAAGTCCAGGAGTGGAAGAAGAGCCAGAACGATCTGCAAGCGGAGCTGCAGAACAACCCCTCCAGCGGCTACGTGGGCGCCCGAGTCTCGAAGCGCCTCATGACCGACGCCTTCGCCCGCGGCGTCGTCCGCGGCTCCGTGGAGTGCGCGAACCTGATCGACAACGCCGGCAGCAACGACCCCACGGCGGCGGAAAC